GCATTTCGTTTAAAAACTGCAATATTATTTTTCAAACAAAACTTTAATTTGCAACAATATTAAAGATAAATGATCAGCAGACTGGTATTCATTCTTGCCAAAAGTACTATGCGGATTGTGAAGTATGATTCACGATGACGTTCTACCAGGTTTTCTTTATTCATTTATTTTGATGCAAAATGAATTGTTTGCTCTGAGAAACTAAAAATAACACTTTATTTATAGTTAGACAATTAAACATTGTTAAGTTGCGGAGCAGTTGTTTGCGTCTTTGTACTTAGCAGTTAAGTTTAACAAAAAATTAAAGGAAGTACGAAAAATACCTCCAAAACTAAAATTCTGCTATAGCTTAAGTACAGGTGGCATTCTTCAGTTTTTGATAGTTTTTTTTTTTTTTGTTTTTGTTTTCTGTGACAATTTAGTAGCACCGATCGGGGTCGTATTTTCTTTAGTTAATGTGTGGTATATATTGTTCCTTATTTGCCAGCGGCCCTAAATAAATATGAGGCATATATAAGACGTAAACATTTATTTATGTATAGTTGTTTCTCATCTCTACAGGCTTATTAAAGTCCTTCCTATTTTTTTCCATTCTTTCTTTTTTTCCTCTTCTCTATTTTTTCCCCTCTCTAGGCTTCGACAGTTCCTGGTTGTTTGCAGCAGAGCTAAGAGGAATTTTTGGATAAGTCCTCTTGGCCCGTGGGGTTGTTGAATATCTGCGTTTATTGGCACCGGGCGGAGCCATGGATGTAGTAGCCCCGCCCCCATTGGACGCGGAGCCTTTACATCCGTTAGCAGCGACGGTATACCGAAGCTGTTTTGTTTGATGGTCGAGTTTCCAGTAGGATCTCAGGATGTATTGGTTTTGTTCAATCTAGTATATTTTTTACGTCAGATTACTGTGAGATTTTCTGCGGAGTATGACTTACAGTTTTTGGTAGAACATAAATTTGTCAAAAAAGTTCCCTTAGTCGTATTGCTTTTCGTTTTATATAGAAATGGCAGCACTACAGATACTCAGGTTATTGTTTGAGACTATTTTTCTTGTTGTGTTACTTTTATTTATCGTGAATTATACAACCAGATTTTAATTGGTGTAATTAAACTTCAAAACAGACAGCGAGTTGTCTGATTGATGATTGTATACATTTTGCCTTGTTATTGATAGTTTTCCGGTGATTTTTGAAAAGTGATAAAGAATAAGAATGTCAGATTTCTCTTTCGTTATCTTCTGAGAAGAAGAGCGTGGATTAAATGATAAAATAAGATTTTATAGTGGATTTTATCATTTTTCTTCTATTTTTTTACGGCATGATGTAATAAGTTTTGAAAAAAATATAACTTCATTTTTCTTGGTATTTGATTGAGTACACTAAAAAAACCGAAAAAAAGCAAAGGAATGTTGAAACAGCCGTGGTATAGCAGTCGGAACTAAATATTGACAATATTTGTTAACTGTTATTTATAATCCTCTAGTAGTTTGTGATAGGAAAATAAGACTTTTAGTGACTCAAAAAAAGTATTCCCTAAGCTTCGTTTTTTTCTCTTGTAATTTCGCTGCTGTTACGTTGCAGTTGGACTTTTTAAGATACGGTGCTCTTAGCGTTCACTATGGGTATATCGGAATGTTCATATAACGTAATAATTTGAATTTGTTGATGTCTCTTTTAGTTCCTTACATTTTATCTGCTTTTGGGTGATGATGGCTAAGGTGGGAACTCACGTAAATGGTGTCCTGGTTGAAGCTGAATGGTAACGAACTTATTACTGTGATTCATGATAGCTTTTTAGAACCTCTATACATTTTTCAAAGCAAATTCTCTTCTAGTGCATGCTCTCGGAAATGCATGAAGTTTCCTCTTGATAATTACAATAAAATTATGTTTGTCGTTATGGCTTCACTTTGCCGTCGACTAAACCCCGTTATGCAAGGGTTTTTTCATTTCGATTTTTTCATTTAAACATTCTTTTCGTACCTGTTCTGGGAAAAGCTTGTTTTTCATGGCGAGCTTGTCTCTAAAAGTCTAATTGAGCAATTTACACTATAGATTTTTATTTAAATTCTAGAAGGAACGGTTTTTACATTTCATTTTGCTCATTGTTTCACGTTAAATTAAGGAAATTGTCAAGAGATAAAAAATGACGAGTTTTTGCAGAATATACGTTAGCAACACTGTTTCTTGTATTCCGTTCTGAGTTTTAAAATCTTTTAAGATTAGAAAGGCACGGTAACTATATATTTTAGTTATCCCACTATGATTTGCAAATGATGGTTATGAGAGGAAAATGCAAGCGGTAGCGGGACTCTGTCATTTTTGCGAGACTCATGGTCCCAGAATAGTTATGGTTACGCAGCCAGTGCGTGATTTGACTTTACTGAATCAGAATCTGCAGTCGCACGTAATTGGTAAATTTATGTTGTTGATTAGTGTCTTAGCACATAGTTTTTCACTATGGTTACTGATAGCATTTCATGTGGTATTTCATAATATTTCGCGCTATCGAGCCATCTTTCACCTTTCTTTTCCTCTTGATTTTCACGCTTTGCATTCGTTTTTTTTT